TACGGGATCACACAATATGGGATCACAATATGAGGTTAAACAAAATGAGACCTGAAGAATATGGTATATTATCACACACAATGCTATCTATATCCTATGAATGAAGGCAGTTTTCGGGGCCCCATTCCACAAAGAGATCTTAGCGCTAAGATGATTGTAACTTCGATACTTTAACACAAACTTACGACAGTCGTAGTGCTAAGATCGCTTTGTGAAACTAGGCCCAGTCCCTTGTCTGATCACAGTGCTAGGAATCTTAGTAATAGATATAACCATGAGGAGGAGAGTATTAGAATCAGATCTTGATTAACAAGAGATTTATTTAGTCCAGCAGTTGGCAAGGCAAAGATATTAGCTTCCTCTGATAGTCCTGCTACAATCTGGAAGAATTTGGCTTTCAGTTTCTGTGGCAAGTTGCTGAAGGATTAAAATAATTCAACTAGTTATTTGTGGTAGAATTTGCAAAAAAACTGAATTATTTTTTTTCAATCAAGATAAGATGTGCTGTGGGACTTGTGTAATTAAGTTGTTTTTTGTGTTCTTTAATTTTGCAGCTGCGTTTCACTGATTAATGAAAATTGATTTCTAGTTTTTGTAAATCTTTATTAGCATAAGATTTCCTGTATGCCATTCAGCTTTGCAAAGGATATTGGATGAAAAAGAGAGAATTTAGAGTAAGATGCTTGGATTTCATAAAAGGGCCATGATCGTCGAGGTTCTTGCTGAGGAGAATCTCCTGACTTTGATTGCTGAAGTTTTGAATGTAGTGCAGAATTACAGGATGGAGGCTGGGGACTGTCAACATGGTTTTGAATCCCAGAATTGGTTTGGTGTTGGTTCTTAGTTTGTCAGCACTGTTCAGTTTGAATGGGTGTCACCAAAGTTGTAAACATCCAGGGCCCACATGTACAAAACAATCTTAGCACGACTTTTGTAAGCCTATGTTATAGTATGGGAGTTATTAATCATCTTAGCGCTAAGATTGCTTTGTGCAAGTGGGCCCTGGGCCTGGTTCACTTTGTTCTTCCCTTCCACATCAAGCTAACATGTGGTGATGGAACTGAAATACTGTCCAAAGAGAAGTTAAACCCAACTCACTCACTCACTCACTCACTCACTCACTCACTCACTCACTCACTCACTCACTCACTCCACCCAATTCTTCACTCGACTTCCTCTCAGAGGACAAGAGGGTAGTCCAGCGGTCCCAGTGTTTGATCATCACATAAAAGTCATTGGTTTGATTCCCTACATGGGTATGTTGTGCCCTAGGCTGTAGCATAGCTACGAAAGTGGTGCAAACCTAGCATTACCAAGTTTTCACCAAGAAATAAATTGTAAGTGTTTCCCTGGCATTTGATTGGCTAACCTAGTAGGGCTGGGACGGGTAACTCGGGTACCTGGGACGGGTGGGTACTGAGTAGGACCCGGGGACCCACAGGACTACCCCGACCTGTGGTAAGTCACATGATATATTGTTTAATGACAAAAATTATCTGGAACTCACACTACACTACAAGTCACTAATGTTCTGACTATGCACCCATTCCTTCTGACTTTTCATATGGTTGAATAAAGATATAACGTAAGTCAACTTCAGTGTATGCATGACCAGATCGTTTTATACATGCATCTAAACACATTTTGCAAATGCTGTGGTAAAAAAATCCCAATTGGACATTTTGTATCTCTTGAGACCTGCAGTGGGTACCGGGGTAGGGTCGGGTAATAGGGGGGTGGGTACTTGAGTAGTAAATTTGGACTCATCCCAGCCCTATAACCTAGCAATTTTTCTTTGCTTTTATGTTTCCATACCACTGTTTCCTGATTAGCGGTTGTCTAAGGTTAATGTTTTTTGTGTTAATCATTAAACAAGCAGTCTTTGAAGTTGTTGTTGACATATTTTATTTATAATTATTGACTTAATATGTTTTTACATTTATGGGGTTAGAGGATGCAGTGTTCAAACCGGACAACTTTTATACCTGCATAAATGCACCAAATATTGTAGTCATTATGTCTCCCCCAGAATGGAGGGAGACATATTGTTTTTGGCACGGTTCCCGTCGGCATCGGCGTCGGCGTCAGCGTTCCCACCGTTTCCGGACCATAACTCAGAAACCGTTTAATATTTTTTCGCGAAACTTTGTATACACATTAACCCAGCACTGAAGTGGTGCCTTTTGCTATTTAGAGATTTTTGACATTTTTATTTTTTCTCGTTTCCATGGAGATAAGTTGAACATAGGCTCTGAATGGGGGTAAGCTTTGTTTCCTGACCATAACTCGGAAACCGTTTAATATTTTTTCGCGAAACTTTGTATACACATTAACCCAGCACTGAAGTGGTGCCTTTTGCTATTTAGAGATTTTTGACATTTTTATTTTTTCTCGTTTCCATGGAGATAACTTGAACATAGACTCTGAATGGGGGTAAGCTTGGTTTCCGGACCATAACTCGGAAACTGTTTAATATTTTTTCGCGAAACTTTGTATACACATTAACCCAGCACTGAAGTGGTGCCCATTAGTTGTTTGAAATTTCTAGGAGTTCTATTTTTGTCTCTGTTATTTAGTAATGGAGGGTGGGAATGAAGAGATGGGGTTTAACGTGAAGTAAACGAATGAATGGGGGTTAGGGGAGTGGGGGGAGACATATGTTTTTACTCCTTTTTCTAGTTTTCAAATAGTATGGCTGTTGTTTGAGCAAGGTCATCTGGGGCCCCTCGCCTGCCACATTGTCCCTTATGTAGATATTTGTTTGCTTGTTTGATTGTTGTTTTACGCCGCACTCAGCAATATTCCAGCTATATGATGGCGGTCTGTAAATAATCGAGTCTGGACCAGACAGTCCTGTGATTGACATCATGAGCATCGATCCAGGCAATTGGGATCAATGACATGCATCAACCAAGTCAGCGGGCCTGACCACCCGATCCCATTAGTCGCCTTTTACGACAAGCATAGTTGCTTTTTATGGCAAGCATGGGTTCCTGAAGACCTATTCTACCCCGGATCTACACTAGTCTTATCTAGATGTACTGTTTTTCTGACCCTCAAATGTATACATAATTCATTGCATACCCCGGGTATACAAACATGCTTACAAGAATCTAACAGTGTAGCACACAGGCCTTAGGGACACACTCCGGCGCAGTGGTGACTCAGCATAACACCACTGCCACAGGCTAATTTGCATATCACGTGACCGGACTTTTCTCTTGTTTGTAAACAAACACGCTTTTTCAGAAATCAGTGTAGAACGGACTAATGCAAGTATTTGGGGGCGCTTGACATATTGTTTTGCATAATTATATAGATATGCTACTACAACTGCGACAGTGAGTTGCATGGCAATATATATTTATGCATCAAAGTGGCCGTATCGCCAGCTCTCCGTTGGGCTTCGATGACAGCACGTGGAGCCGTACAACCAATGTAAACAAAGGATAACTACGCAAAAACAAATAGATTTTCACGTATTATGATACTTTCTTAATGAACCTTAAACATTCTTTGACGTTTGTTTATGAAAATGTGTAGACTTTTCAAACATGAAACGGATGAAAGGCATATTCACTATCTTGAATGGACTGTGAAAGATGTGACGAATCGTCACATGGCGCTGGCCTGTGGCAGAGGTACTATGCTGGCTGGCTGCCGGCCACATAGAACTCTGGGTAGGAGAGTGGCCTTAGGGACTGAGATCCTTTTTTTAGACAAACTGTTATTGGTCACTGTCTCAAGGCATTCAAGGAACATTTTCTTAGTTTTACACCCATGTTGTTTTCATGATATCCTGCATATCTGGATAAAAAATGTGTTGTTTCAATATTTTACAATCTCAATGAAATCAGATCGTAGTTCTCCTACTACAAAACAAAGATATTTTAGGACATACCACCAGGGTCATGTCAGAACGACCTCTCATCCAACCAATCAAAGCGACAGCAGGAATGTGTTTTCTAATCAACCTCAAAAAGGTTAACGCGGGGTATTCCGAAGGACAATTATGGTTTGTATGACTGAATCCATCAAAGTCGTTGCCTATCTCTCTCATGTCAATGGGATAAACACTTGAACAGAAGGACTTTGCACAGCATGTACTTCCATACAATCTCAGCCATCTGTTAGACATGTTGATTTTAAATCGAGAGCTTTGTCAAAATATTTTTCAAAGCGTATTCTGAAATGGATGTCGCCAGTGCTGTGTTGCCCAAGACAGCTGTTTCTGATTGGCCAATGTCGACTTCTTGTTAGCCATTTCATTTGGTCAAAGTTCACAAAAGGTCATTCTAACCTGTACTATGATGTTCTCAGATGTTTGTTTAGCGGTAGCAAGAACTAAGATCTGATTTGCATGAGATTGAGTATTTTATTAAAAGAGAGAGAGAGAAAGACAAACAAAACTAAATGACTAAGTACTGTAAATCTTTACATTAATTAACTTCGCATTTATGTCTCCAAATGACTATCAACAATAAGATGACCTCACTGCACACTTTGGATAGTGGAAATACCAACTAGACTATAAACACAAACACAGTTTATTGAGCAGCAGTTGTAACAAGTATATGACAATGTCTTTTTAAGTACACTCCACTTTTATATGACCCGTGAAGATATCAGGAGTAGAATAGGTCTTCAGCAACCCATGCTTGCCGTAAAAGGAGACTATGCTTGTCGTAAGAGGCGACTAACGGGATCGGGTGGTCAGGCTCGCTGACTTGGTTGATGCATGTCATCGATCCCAATTGCGTGGATTGATACTCATGATATCAATCACTGGACTGCCCTGTCCAGACTCAATTATTTACAGACCGCCATCATATAGCTGGAATATTGCTGAGTGAGGCGTTAAACAACAAACCAACCAACCAACCAACCACTCTTAAATAAAGCTGTCCTTTTCTGAACAGGATGTCATGTTTTTTTAAGATTCATCATGTATTATACTCATTGCTCATCAGATACGCTATTCAGTTTCTTATTTCACTCAGTGTTTTTCAGATTTTGAAGATATCTTCGATGATGATTGTGCTGACGCCCACCCACCTGAAGTAGCATTCTCCAGCCCAGACAAGTGATGAGCCCTACAAGACAAGACAGTTCCCTGGAACAAGCTAGAGTGTGCGCTTGACAAAGTACATGGCATGTGAAGAGGTGCAAGATGGCTTCGGAGGAGTGTTCACAGGACGAGGTGGAGGGGAGCTTCCAGTGTTCGTTGAGACAGAGTGTTTGTTGTGGAAGTGTAACCTGATGATGGCAAGTAGAGATGGATACTCATCAGTTGAGTGTAGAAGTGAGGGAGAAACTGTTGTGTTTGGAATAAAAAGGTGAGACTGACTTGGCCATGTTTAGAAGATTGGTTAAAGTGTAAAAAGTGGTTTAGGAAGATGTGACTGAGATCCTGTTTAGTCTGATATAAACAGAAGAACCAGCAGGTGTTGGTTGAAGAGGAATCAGTAGGTGTTGGTTGAAGAAGAACCAGCAGGTGTTGGTTGAAGAAGAACCAGCAGGTGTTGGTTGGAGAAGAATCAGTAGGTGTTGGTTGGAGAAGAATCAGTAGGTGTTGGTTGAAGAAGAACCAGCAGGTGTTGGTTGAAGAAGAATCAGTAGGTGTTGGTTGAAGAAGAATCAGTAGGTGTTGGTTGAAGAAGAATCAGCAGGTGTTAGTTGAAGAAGAATCAGCAGGTGTTGGTTGAAGAAGAATCAGCAGGTGTTGGTTGAAAAAGATCCAGCAGGTGTTGGTTGGAGAAGAATCAGTAGTTTTTGGTTGAAGAAGAATCAGTAGGTGTTGGTTGAAGAAGAACCAGCAGGTGTTGGTTGAAGAAGAATCAGTAGGTGTTGGTTGGAGACGAATCAGTAGGTGTTGGTTGAAGACGAACCAGCAGGTGATGGTTGGAGAAGAATCAGCAGGTGTTGGTTGAAGAAAAATCAGTAGGTGTTGGTTGGAGAAGAATCAGTAGGTGTTGGTTGAAGAATCTGCTGATGTTGGTTACAGAAGAGTCAGCCAAAGTTGGTCACAAAAGAATCATCTGATGCGATCAGAAGTAAGTGTTTCTCAAGTCATTGACTGTGTTCAGTGTGTTAATGGCAGCCTTTCTCACACACTACAGAATAAATGATGGCGTGGCAAAATCTGTTCTTGGAAAGTTGAAGGACAAATGTTACTGGTAGTCCTCCACACACTACAGGAATAAATGCTGGCGAGGCAAAATCTGTTCTTGGATAGTTGAAGGACAAATGTTACTGGTAGCCCTCCACACACTACAGAATAAATGATGGCGTGGCAAAATCTGTTCTTGGATAGTTGAAGGACAAATGTTACTGGTAGCCCTCCACACACTACAGAATAAATGATGGCGTGGCAAAATCTGTTCTTGGATAGTTGAAGGACAAATGTTACTGGTAGCCCTCCACACACTACAGAATAAATGATGGCGTGGCAAAATCTGTTCTTGGATAGTTGAAGGACAAATGTTACTGGTAGCCCTCAACACACTACAGGAATAAATGCTGGCGTGGCAAAATCTGTTCTTGGATATTTGAAGGACAAATGTTACTGGTAGTCCTCCACACACTACAGGAATAAATGTTGGTGTGGCTACATCTGTTCTTGGATATTTGAAGGACAAATGTTACTGGTAGCCCTCAACAGACTACAGGAATAAATGTTGGTTTGGCTGCATCTGTTCTTGGATAGTTGAAGGACAAAAGTTACTGGTAGTCCTCCACACACTACAGGAATAAATGCTGGTTTGGCTGCATCTGTTCTTGGATAGTTGAAGGACAAATGTTACTGGTAGCCCTCCACACACTACAGGAATAAGTTGCTGGCGTGGCAAAATCTGTTCTTGGATAGTTGAAGGACAAATGCTGAGCAGGTGCCGTCATGCACTGATTTGCTGTTTTCTCTGAAAGACTGCTGTGAAACCGAGGTACAGACTTATCTTGTTCATAGTATCATATGACCATGATATGATACTGCCTCCACCCTCTGAGACTGAAGGGCATGACCTTATTGCCTTATTCATACCACTTGTTAGAATCTTCCTATGTGTTGTTTCCCAGTGTCTCTGACACTGGACATACCTTGATTTCCATGCGATATCTGTTCCGTTTGGGAAAGATCGATCACCATTGACTGTAAATTGTCTTTAGGTTTGTTTTTTTATTGCACTTCTTTTTTTAGACTAAACTGTTTCCATTGATTTAGAGATTTAGAATTTTAAGTGTCTGATTAAAATAATTGCATTTCCATTTTGTTTATTTCAATATCCTATTTATGTGTTCTATGTATCAAGTGATTTATGACACTCAACTTGGTTGTGAATTGCTGTACTTTGATTATTTTCTCATCATGCAACCTGCAATTTGTTTTATTCCTAAACAAAGTTCTTTCATTGGTCTTTTTATATTATTTGACAACTTTTTGACACTGGAAACCAATTTGTTTCTTTCAGAACTATGTTGCTATTCTGAGATGAAATAAATGTCTTTAACACAAATGTTCAAAGGTGTAAGTGAAGTTATATCATCGCCTCTTTATCCATTGCCTGATCCATTGCATCATAATTCTCATCTTTCAATTCTGGACCAATGAACATCAGTGAACATCAATGAATATCAATGAATATCAATGAACATCAATGAACATGGTATGCATGTCCAAGTATAGATGACTCTTTCAAAAATATTATATTAAAATTGATCAATTAATATAATATGTCAATACTTCTGTTGATAGGAAACACAAAACACACAAAAAACAAGAGACTAAATGTTGTTGGCTTCCAACTTTGGCCATTTTAGATAAAAAAATGTTTGTTTTGTTTTTTGTCATCTCAAGATCTCTGTATATATGTCCACACTTTACACGAATGTTAGTTACTTTATAAACACAGTTTGAAATAACTTTGAATATTTTAAGACCTCCAGTCTGAAAAATATAATTTTTGATACAAATTGAAACAAACATCCTTTTTTAGACAGATATATTTTTCAGAATCTTTGAAAGTGCAAGGGGCAGGAATATGAAACTCTTGTGGATGACAAGTGTTATGACATCCTGAATCAATGCAGATCAAAAAGATTGTTGGAAATGAGATGCCACACATAGGTGTGTGTAGGGTGTTTACAGTTACGGATATGTGCAGAATGATGAGAATTGTCTGTCTTGGTCCAGTAGGTCACAAGAGCTAATATTTCTGCAGTATTTTGAATTTTGTCCTTGATTGATCTTTTCGTATCAGGCCATATTAAATTATTTATCAGATGATATTTATCAACAGTTAATGTACACACATGCATTAAACAGCATGGTTAAAAAAGAAACGTGTACATACAATTAAATGCCTTGGCTTCATATTACATTTCTAATTTGGTTGAAAGCCTAATTACCAATTTATTGTTGCCTATGGAGATGGGATATATTTTTAATGTCTGCAACTAATAAGTTTAAAGACATGATTTAATGAGGACTAGTTTATTCAGTTTGGAAATATTCGACATGCACTTAAGCATGTCTTTCTATGGATAACAGTGTATGCTTCATAATACGCAGAAGGGGCGGTCGGGTAGCCTAGTGGTTAAAGCGTTCGCTCGTCACGCCGAAGACCCGGATTCGATTCCCGACATGGGTACAATGTGTGAAGCCCATTTCTGGTGTCCCCCGCTGTGATATTGCTCGAATATTGCTAAAAGCGGTGTAAAACCATACTCACCCATTATATGCTGAAAATTTGAAAAATATCCTTGTTATTGGTGATAGAAATGACTGACGTGCAGGATTAAAAATAATCATCTCCTTTTTTCAGGCTAATAATATGTAATCATGTGAGCTCCAGAACTAGGGCACTACTTTCGTAATTGTCCTGGGCCTGATTATTTTTGTTACAAAAAATCAACCCAAGCCCCTCCCCCACCACTAGATATGACGTTTTCAATATCTTATGCACTCAACACACCGAAGAAATATTTTTAAACATTCATTTTATTCATTTGACAAATCATAATCATAACAGAATGATGATAGCATCTATATATTTGCTATCTACAAACAACAGGCAGGCCACAATCATAGTACGTTATCAGTATCCTTCTACATAGTGCCTGCCATGTAGACATGAAAGTGTAGAGTTGTTGTCTGAGATGTCTTGTTCATCCTGACATAGTCTGGAGTAGGAATTTTGCATGAATAATCATAAAAATTCCTTAATCCTAACTGATAGGATAGATATTTCAACAGTGTATTCTTTATGTACCCTGCATATGTCTATCTAATTAATTATTGTACTAATTAACTGACCAAAAACTTGCTCAAGGATTTGTGTTGTAAGTAGAGTAGACATATGCTGAACTTAATCAGTTAGGGATGATGAATATTTTGATGGATATTTTTATGAAATTGTGAAATCTCCCAAAATATGCATGATCCCTAACTGATTTTGTTCAGTATCTGATATTTAGAAGTAGAAGTGGCTGATGCAACTTTGTGATACGGAGTTCGGCAGTGTACTAAAGACTATATATTTTCAATAATTTGATGGGGGTACAGGTGGCCAAGTCGTCTAAGGCACTGCAATTTGCTGTGCAGAGTTGCATCCCTTGGGCACACCTATGATCGTGGGTTCCATTCCCGGTTCGCCCCGATTATGTTTTAAGGTTTGTCAGCACAATTCCCGTGCTCGTGGGTTTCACGAAAGTGGTAAATGTCTAAAACCTGCATCACTTCGGGCTTTCCTCCAACATTAAGCTGACATGCTGTGATGTGATTGAAATGGAGTACTGTTCGAAGGGGTGTTACACCCAACTCACTCACTCACTCAATAATTGGTAACTGGTAGACACATGTAGCTGTGTTGAAGATTCACAGAGATACTTCTGTAACCTGTGGGGGCCATGCATACAAGAGGCCCGTGAAAATCCGGGGTAGGATAGGTCTTCAGCAACCCATGCTTGCCGTAAAAGGCGTCTAAGCTTGTCGTAAGAGGCGACTAACAGGATCGGGTGGTCAGGCTCGCTGACTTGGTTGATGCATGTCATCAATCCCAATGGCGTTGATCGATGCTCATGATGTCAATCACTGGATTGTCGGGTCCAGACTCGATTATTTACAGACCACCGTCATATAGCTGGAATATTGCTGAGTGCGGCGTTAAACAAACAAACAAACAAACCAAAGCATACAAGGTGATCCCAATATCTATACCAAAGTGTTTGTCCTTGCCCCATCTGGCAGCCACATCACACAGAGTGAACAGCTGACACCGTCACACAAGGACTTACTGTGGACCGCCTCCGTGGTCTAGTGGTTGAGCGTCCGGGATTCGATCCCCAGCCGCGTCATATAAAAAGACGTTAAAAGATGGTACTTGTTGTTACCCTGTCTGGCGCTCGGCATTAAGGGGCTAAAACAAGGACTGGTCTGCTGGGAGTCAGTTAAACTGCGACATAGTATCTCAGTGGGCTAGCACTATAAACCTGCATAAGTCCTGACTAGTGCAAGCAGACACAAACACATGCACTCACACCTGTTTTCTGTCTACCAGTAGGGTATGTTCATATAATTTAGGACAATGTATCTATTTATTTATTTTTACCTTGCAGTTGAAGGATGAAAAAAGTTTTAAAAAATGGGGGTAAAAATTAATTTTTACCTGTTAAATAATAATTATTATAAACCTGTTAAACCCTCTCACATTACTGACAACTACTAGCTGGCTGGTCCACCGCATATTTTGCTATCAATGTCATTAAAATCAGATCTTAGGTTGTGGCCTTTGAATCATTTTCTCCAGCTTGGTGAAGTTTATGGATGAACCAAGTCAGGAGGTCCAAACTCTCCCATTCCTGTGCAGGATACAACTGGGCCACATGTTTTGATTTTAGTGCAATCTCATTAAAATCAGATCTATGTTCTCACTGCCGCTAAACAAAGATTTGAGGACTTCTCATTATGGGTCACGTCAGAACGACCTTTCATCCGACCAATCAAAGCGTCGCTTACCAGATCATGAAAGTGACAGTCGGAATGTGTTTTCTAATCAATGCAACCTGGAAAACTTTGATACGGGGTATTCCGAACGACAGTTACGGCCCGTACGACTGATTCCGTCAAAATTATCGTCTATCTCTCGGTTCCGTGGGATAAACATTTGAACGGAGGAGGCGTTGCACAGTACGTGCGCTTGCCATACACTCTCAACCATATATTAGTCTTCCGGAATGTTCGTTTGTTCAGTTTTCAAAATATTAATCGAGAACTGTGTCAATATATTTTTCAAGCATAGACAGAAATGGAATTCGCAAGGTTGCAACGAGTGCCGTAAAGCTCGTGAAAGCTGCTTTCTAATTGGCTGATGTCGACTTGGCTCATGTCATTTCAGTCGTCGGTCAAAGTTCGCGAAAGGTCGTCCTGACGTGACCCGTAATTGGATGTCCTCAGATCTTTGTTTAGCGGCAGCGAGAACTGAGTTCTGATTTTAATGAGATTGGATTTTAGTGTTTTCAGATAATTATATAACCAATAAATAGTTTATAGATCTAGTACAAAAATATATGCATGTATTTTTTATGTAGTTGCGGTAGAGGCTAAATATAAATGCTAATTCTAAATGTAAGATTTTTAATAGTATTTTACCTACATGAACATGAATTTACTTTAGTTAGGCAAGGCTTTGTTGTCAATACAAAGCCTTGTGTCGTGGTCCAAGAATATATACAGAACAGTTGATTAATCATTACCTAAATTAACAATCAACTTTTGTGACTTTCTAATTGTAGTTTCCATCATTTTATTTTTATAATCCATCAAATTTGAGAAGAAGAATTTGAAACTATTTTTCGTCTATTTTCTGATTGTGGATCATACTTCTGTAAACCAGAAACTTAGAATGTGTGGCATTGACTTCACTTTGTAACCATTACAGTCTTCTTCAGTGTTTCGTTTCAGCCCACCCGTGAAGACTGGGGTAGAATAGGTCTTCAGCAACCCATGCTTGCCGTAAGAGGCAACTATGCTTGTCGTAAGAGGCGGCTAACGGGATCAGGTGGTCAGGCTTGCTGACTTGGTTGATGCATGTCATCGTATCCTAATTGTGTGGACCGATGCTCATGATGGCTCGCTGACTTGGTTGATACATATATCAATTGCTTGGATGGATGTTCATGATGTCAATCATTGGATCGCTTGTGTAGACTCAATTATTTACAGACTGGTGTCACATAGCTGAAATATTGCTGAGTGAGCAAACAAACAAAACAGTTTCAGTGCAAAAGTGCCATGTGTTTGCATCATGAACATGGTTAAATAGTTAAGACATCCTTCAAGATGTTTTCCCATTTTTTAAACTACTTTCGTTGATTCTTTAGGTTCAGCCTTCAAACCGTAAAGAGATTCTTCAACCTGTTTTTTTTTCTCCATTTCTTTAAACTATTTTTGCTGGTTCCTTAGTTTCAGCCTTCAAATGCGTCCTATAGAATAAAGCTAAGGACATTAGCGCCTGATTATTGGTTTTGCTCTTGTCAAGATGTCGGATGACAAGTGAAAGTTGTAAAAAGGTGTGTCAGTTGAGTGTTTGTTAGAAGGCCAAATACTTGATGACTTTTGTGTACATGTGTGTTTTGTAAGAGAACTTGTAAAATGTCCTCATTAAGAACAAATGCCTTGTAAATACCAATCCAGTTGTCATTAAATATTCATGTAACCTTCACAGTCTTTGTATTTTTTTCTTCACAGTGCATTTTAGACATTTCTAAAACAAATTGACATGTTTTAGGATTAGTTTTGTTTCATTTATCTTATTGTGTTTCCCAGTGATGATTTAGAGGGAGAATGGGTCCCCAGCAACCAGCTGGGTATAAGATTGGTTTGGTTGGTTGGTTTGTTGTTTAATGCATCACTCAGCAATATTCCAGCTATATGACGGCGGTCTGTAAATAATCGAGTCTGGACCAGACAATCCAATGATTGATATCATGAGCATCAATCCACGCAATTGGGATCGATGACATGCATCAACCAAGTCAGCAAGCCTGACCACCCGCTCCCGTTGGCCCCCTTTAAGACAATCATAGTCACCTTTTACGGCAAGCATGGGTTGCTGAAGACCTATTCTACCCCGGAATCTTCACGGGTCGCTGGGTATAAGAGGTGACTGGTGAGGATTGGGTGGTCATGTGCTCTTATTGTGTTGGTCTTGGATCATGCTATCATCCACTGGTTTACCTGACCAATACTTGATTATTTACAGCCAGGTGTATTAAAGCTGGAACATGCGCAAAACAACATTCACTCACTCTCATTGGGATTATTTGTCATTTGTAAACAGAAATGTAGCAAAATGTGTCAAATGATATCTGGTAAATATGATTGTCATTTTTGCTTCTCCTTGTTGGATATATGATGGTTGGTTTGTTGTTTAACGCTGCACTCAGCAATATTCCAGCTATATGACAGCGGTCTGTAAATAATAGAGTCTGGACCAGACAATCCAGTGATTCATATCATGAGCATCGATCCACGCATTTGGGATTCGGTGACATGCATCAACCAAGTCAGCCAGCATAACAACCCGATCCCCTTAGTCGCCTTTTACAACAACCATAGTCGCCTTTTACAACAACCATAGTCACTTTTTACGGCAAGCATGGGTTGCTGAAGATATAGGATATATGTACTCTCATGTTTTTCAGTTTTGTTAAAGGGATGCTTCAAGTATATGTACTACACTTCCAGTGTTTCAATTTGAATGGTCAAATAATGTTATCTCACCTGGTCTGCTCAGCAGGCGAGTTTATGCAATCATGCAGTCTGTTGATCTATCGCTCATGTATTAGATCCTGTTTCTAGTTCGATCAACTTATCTCCTTTCTCCATCATCTGTTGGCCAGTCTCTCATTGACGAGGGTCCTGATTTAACATTTTATATTTAACTTAAGTTTGTCCCCTATTCCGTGTTTTAACTAAGCTGAAAAATAATGATCACTGACGAGAGGCCCCAAATGTTACTGACCGTTGCCTTGTAAATACCCCCGTTAGACCCTCGTTTATTTTTCCAACAAACAGAAAAACCTCATCTTCCATTATCATAACATTGCAAAAAGACTATGCAACTTTAAATTCATTGGAAATTTCACCCATATAGGGGCAGTCGGGTAGCCTAGTGGTTAAAGCGTTCACTCATCAAGCTGAAGACCAGGGTTCGATTCTCGACATGGGTACAATGTGTGAAGTCCATTTCTGGTGTCCCCTGTCGTGATATTGCTGGAATATTGCTAAAGTGGGTGAGTGAGTATTGTTTTATGCCGCTTTTAGCAATATTCCAGCAATATCACAGCCGGGTCTTCTGCGTGACGAGCGAACGCTTTAACCACTAGGCTACCCCACCGCCCCAGAATATTGCTAAAAGCAGTTTTAAACCATGTTCACTCACTATTATAATATTTGCAAATATTTACAAGAACGCTGCAGGTGAGCTACAGAGCCTTATGGTAATTGATTTTTATAGAACAACATGATTAAAGATGCTGAGACTTCACATCCACCAATACCATAAGGAACACTTCATATTTACATAATTGTGTTGTCATGGGAAATACACATGAAAATATATATACCTACACA